CAGAGCCTAGCGCACCTTTGGGTATTGTTGGATATTCCCGTAAATGTAGGCTTTGTTATACCTCTAGTAGTTACTGCACCTGTAATTATTACAGTACCTGTAGATAATGGGATGTGGATTGCGGCGAATCTTCACGACGTTACAAATCCACTGCAAATAAATACACGCGAATGAAAAGTGGGGAGAGACGCGCAAGACTAGGAATAAGCGCATCGGGGGTTTGGGGCAATCCGGCAGAAAACTGTGGCATCTTTAAATTGGGGTATCTTTAAACCGAGATGCGTCTTTAATGCCCCCGTTCAAAGCTTATCTGAGCACCCATGAAATTATGAATGTACTACATTAGGAATGATAACTTACCCATGCAGCCTCACCCTTCCTGGCAAGCTTCTGCTGGCGCCTACAGGGATACATGGGCGAAAGAAACACCTCCTGTAAACCCCAAAATTGCTTCAGCTGTGTGTATGTATGTACTACAGCGGAATACTCACCCAAGCGGCCTCGCCCTTCCTGGCAAGCTTCTGCTGGCGCCTACAGGGATACATGGGCGAGAGAAACACCTCCTTCACCTGTAACGGAGTGTATTGGAAAATAAAAAACAGAAGAGAAGCAGGGTAGTAGTTATATAATGCTTTTAAAGGAATGAATGCAGGGGGAGCAATTCTAGAAGGTTTCCCAATTTCCGAATTTCTAGAAACATCTCCTTCACCTATCCCCGAATTCGTGGTGGACACATCACGTGTTGGTGGTGTTAGACCTGAGACAACTTTTGAGGCGCCTCAAGACTCGTGGTGGACACATCACGTGTTGGTGGTGTTACTTCTAAGAATTCTCAAAAGTAACACCAGCATAGCTGGCATATAACATCACAATCTTACTGCATTCCTCCCACCATGATTCAGTACTGGTAATCAAGGCACAAATGCAGTGTGCAGCACAAACGTTGCAAGGCCCGTTGGGGGTGAAAACTATCAGAGCGAGGTTTCGATCCTCGGACCTGTGGGTTATGGGCCCACCACGCTTCCGCTGCGCCACTCTGATGTGGTTTTATGGTCTCGTAAACAAAATAGTTCTGAGAATAATCTTCCTCGTCCTTCCCTCACATTCCCCTCATCCTCCCTCCCATCCTCACCTCATCCTTCCCTCATGCTCCCCTCATCCTCCCTCCCACCCTCCCCTCATCCTACTCCCAATCCTCACGATTCTTTCATCCCAAATAAACCTCCACCCTCCCCCAAACACCCAATCCCAACCCTCCCACAATTCCCCTCCCCACCCCCCCCAGCCGCCCCACCTTCTCCCCATCCTTCCCCTCTAGGGCGGCTTCCCTATCAGGCTATCCCCCCCAACTACACCCCCCATCTCTTCCCCACCCCCCCAACCTCTCCCTCCGCCCCCATTACCCTCCCGCTCTCACCTTCCCCGCATTCCATCCGCGGAAGGGCGGCTTGGGCCTGCTTCCGCCCATCATTTCGTTGCGCTGCGCCAGGTGCATCTGGGGGGAAGAATGGGGGAGGGGGATCGGGGGAGAGAGTTGCAGGGAAGGCGGGGGAAATGGCAGGGGGGAGATGGGAGGGAGGTGGGGAGAGTTACGCTTGCTTCCGCCCATCATTTCGTTGCGCTGCGCCAGGTGCATCTGGGGGAAGAGAAAAGGGGAAGGGGGAGGGGGAGGAGGAGTTGAGTGGGGTGGGGGAAATGGCGGGGGGGAGATCGGAGGGAGTTGAGGCGGCTTGGGCCTGCTTCCGCCCATCATTTCGTTGCGCTGCGCCAGGTGCATCTGGGGGGACGAAAAGGGGTGCGGAAACGGGAGGGGAGTGGGGGGTGGGGGAGGGAGGGAATGTGGGGAAACTGTGGGGGAGGAAAAGTGTTACTTTGTTACGCGTCACCCTCCCTTCATTGCTTTTTTACCACATTCCAGGGAATGTGGGGAGAATGGGGGAAATGTGTTACAAGGTTACGCGTCACCGTCCATTCATGTATTTTTTTGCGCATTCAAGAATTCTTTCGTATGTCGACCCGCCTCAAACTCAGTCTCGCCTCGTTGTGTGCAGTAAGAATTGAGATTTTTTCTCACTTACAGAAGCACCTCATAGCGAGCTCAAATGAGTCTCTTCTTTCACCAACCACGAAAACCAACCATGTGGCATTGTACTCGTTATGAGCGCACCTGATAAACAGCCTCGCCATGGGTGAAATCCGCCTCTTCGATCGTCTGCTTTTTCCTCTCAGGCCCTCCGACGATAGGCTTCGATAAATCGAAGTCTGACAGAAACGGAACGTTTTCTTTCCCGCTTCCCCCTGCTGCTCCGCCCGCCTCACCCGCCGCTGCGCCTGTGCCACCCGTGGAGCCTCCGCCTTGCGCTTCCGCCGGTTTCTTCGCGACTATTACGGGCGGAACGGCGAAGATGGTAACGGATGCGCCTGTAGCGAGGATGAGGACGAGGCAGAAGAACGCTGCGAAGAGGAAGAAGGCGAACGACGCGAGAAGCGCTCGCACGAGCGAGTCGCCTTGGCTGGCGCGCTTCCAGCCTGCGCGCTTCGGGTTCATTGCGTCACTCGCTGACTAAGTAGTTTTGGCTAGAGACTTGGGAACAAAACAAAATAAAAAACAGAAACGGTGGGCTTGAATATAAGTCTAGATTATGAAACTGCTTGGAAAAACAACTACTGAGACTAGGTTCACGAAATACGGAAGCACGGCGTGGTAGTAACTAAGGGTGACTAGAGGTCTGACACGAGCCCAGAATGTATTATTTGTCTGGGGGCGAAAATAGTGTGCGACCCGCCCCCACACCCCCATACTTCATTGCATGTGGTAAGGTTTCCGTTCGTTTCGAAGTGTTTTGACTCGGTGAACAACGATCAATGCTTTTGACTCTCGTAACGAGTTCTTCCGCTTTGATGTGCCCACGTGCTACAGTAACGCCATGTGGGGTGGATGAACATCGTCTGATGTGCTGTCGATGACGTGCCCTTGTCAAGCGCTTCGGGAGTCGGATGTTCGTCTTCTCCAATGCCTGCTTGCCACGTATGAGACGATCCACGCAGAACAGAGGTGGAGTGAGGTGATATTTTCAAAACTCGGAACAGAGAGCTCCGCTGCGGTGGAGAGAGTCCTTGTTCAAGGGAAGAAGGCTGAGACATATTATGTATATTCATCCTGGCTGTGTGCAGGATGTTGCCATGTATTTGGCCAGCCAGCGTTGCACAGTTTGGTGAACATAAGCTTGCAAATGTATTACATATTTATTTGTGTTTCTAATGCTGATAGGCTTGTGCCAAGTTCATGACCGGTTTGGGTGACCAAGGGAGATGCAAGGGAGTATTGGAGCTTTATGCCAGTATTGTTGCCCACTGAGAGTCAGTGCCTGATGGGCTGTATTGTAATTTCCAAACTGCTGGCGGTGTAGTGTTAACTGCCTTCAAACACCAGTGCCACTACCACATGGTAACGAACTCTAATTGATCTTACCGTTAACTAAGCATGTGTGTGAGAGCCATACCTCGAGACTCATCACAATGCAATAGACCACATGGATAACGAACAGTGAGCGAAGTATGTGGCAACAAAGAAGGAAGACAGACGGAGGTGGCAAGCGACATGAGGGGAAATGAGAGGAGGAGATGGTGCAAAACTCTAGGGAGGGAAGGAGAGAGAGAGGGAAGGAGAGAGAGAGAGAGAGAGAGAGAGAGAGAGGGAAGGAGAGAGAGAGAGAGGGAAGGAGAGAGAGAGAGAGAGGGAAGGAGAGAGAGAGAGAGGGAAGGAGAGAGAGAGAGAGAGGGAAGGAGAGAGAGAGAGAGGGAAGGAGAGAGAGAGAGAGAGAGAGAGAGAGAGAGAGAGAGAGAGAGAGAGAGAGAGAGAGAGGTGGGGGGCGGAGGGGGGTGGGAGGGAGGGAGTAGGAGGGAGGGCAAGTTAGGAGGAAGGGACGGAGGGAGGGAGGGAAGGAGGGCGGTTGGAGGGAGGGAGGGAGGGAAAGTAGAAGGTAATAAGGTGAAAGCTGGCGAAAGGGGGATGCAGTTTTAAGGAAGGGAAGGGGAGCAAGGGGGGAAGGTTTGGGCGAGGCAGAGAGGAGGAAGAGGAGAGGAGCAGAACAGTGGATATGATGGGAGGGAGTATGGAAACAACGAGAGAGAAGGGGGGTGGAACGCGGAGAATGGGAAGAAACGGGGTATGGAGGAGCGGAGATTGGGTGTATTCAATGGGGAAAGAGGGAGTGGGGGGATAGGGGGATGGGGAGTGGGGATAGGGAAGGCGGGATAGTCCAAGGGATGGAACAATGGTTGCCGATCTTAGATTGCCATGGGTTGACTCGTTCCGTGCCGTTAGTTAGCCTTTGGTCATTTCTGTAACACTCAAATGCTTGCTCAACGGGGACATGGGGAATGACAATCACTTGAAAGGTCTTAACCAGCCATTGAAATCTTGGCAATATCCTAACGAATCTACTCGTTACAAGCAGATCTCAAGCCGCTTCATTTCCGAAACGAAACCATACCGCAACTCACTGTTCTTCCGATCGCTGACGCGAGTACACTGGATCCAGCGAATCGGCTTATAACGAAGACCTCTTGATCCGCGACACCGCCGCGAAGTCTCAGCGAAACAAGAAACGAGTTACAAATTCACGTCGCCGTAACCGCCGCGCCCAGCCGCACGAGCGGCGTTTCGCGAGCGTTGCACGCAGATCCAGATCCCGAACGACAGAGCGCCAACTCCCAGAATCACTCCAATCACCGTCCCCGCGATCACTCCGGCGCTCGGTCCGCTCGACGGCGCGCCCAGCGCAGGTGTCGGCGGAGGCGGCGACGGCAGCGGCGGCGCGGGCGGGGTGAGCGATTGCGCAACGCTGAACGGCGGAGATGCGAAGTCATCCGGCGGAATATACTGGTCCCCCGGAAAGTTGTCCTGATACGTCCGCCCTGCCTCCGACGGGGGGGCGGAATCCACTGGGGGGAATTTGGGCGGAGGTTTTCCCCCTACCGGCGGAGGAGCTGGGGCGTCAACTGGGGATGGCGCGGGCGGGGAAACCTCGGGGGTTGGCGCGGCCGGAGAAATCACGGGGGGCGGCGTGGGGGGGGGGATCTCCGGGGATGGCGTCGGCGGGGGAACGGGGGTTAAGGATGGAGTGGGGGCAGGGGGAGGGATGCGCGGAGCGATGGGCGGAGCGATGGGCGGAGCGACGGGTGAATCGACGAACGCGGGCGCGGGTGCCGGTGAGGGCGCGGGCGTAAGGGAAGGCGCGGGCGTTGGGGAAGGCGCGGGCGTTGGGGAAGGCGCGGGCGTTGGGGAAGGCGCGGGCGTTGGGGAAGGCGCGGGCGTTGGGGAAGGCGCGGGCGTTGGGGAGGGGGACAGAGTAGGCTCCGGAGCGGGTGCCGCGACTGGGGGAGGAGGGGACGGGGAGGCCTTGGTTGGGGGAGGGGAGGACTTGGTTGGGGGGGAGGCGCTGGTTGGAGGGGAGGCGTCGGGGGGAGGGGAGGCCTTGTGGGGAGGAGGGGGCTTGTGGGGCGGGGGGGGGCTGTGGGGCGGAGGCGGCGGCGACTTGCCTAGGGATGGGGCGACGAGAAGCGCGAGGAGAACGAGCAGCACTTGGATATGCGCAGATCCGCATGCGCGCGCCATGTTTCCGCCCGCGTGCAATGCGCTGCGCGATGCGCTCGTGACTGCGAAAAGAGACCCGGCGAAAATATCGCCGCGAGATTTGCGGGGGGATTAGGCTGCAACCGCGGACCTTGACCCGACAAGATGACTGCGGCTCCGCATCAATGGGGCCTCAGGGAGCTTTGAGTGGATAGAAGAGAATGCGGCAGGGTGAACAGACCCTGAATGTGGAAGAGGTTCCACTACCGCACAATGAAGGGGCACAAGCAGACTTCAGCTGGGCTGGCAAGAATTTCAGGGGTGCTGAGATTCAAGGGAAGAGTGGTGGTGTGGATGAGAATGGAGGAGAGCAGGTAGGGGCGGAAACAAGGTGGGTGAATGTCAATGCAATGGGTGGATGTGTCGTGTCGAATGTCCAACCAAAGCTCTCGCTTGCTTGCCTTTCACTGCCGCCAAGGGATTGCCGAGGCGCAGGTAGGGGCGAAATTTAGCGGGCGAAAGTTTGGGGAAAGGCGTAAACACCAATGAAAGCGGCATGGCCGAGGTTCGGACGGTATCGAAACGTGGGGAGGTTGGTTTGACATCTCATGACAAATTTGGCACAATGCCTTCGTTCTGGTTTGGCTTGCATTCAATGGTCCGTGGAGGTTTGGAATAAGGCTCGGCACCATTGGCTTGGGGAGTGCTGGTGTGCGGATGCCACACCTGATTTGCGTGCGGACGCAGGTCTTTCGCCAGATTCGCAACTGGGGTGTTCAGGGGGTAATTCGCGCATCACCGAGCTTGTTGGCGAAACAATCGCATGGGCAGCCGGGTTCGCACGAAAATCCCAATCTTTCGAGGGGCGTGATTGATTGGCCAGAAGTTTCAAGCATCCGTGAATCTCGGAAAATGGAAGCACCCATTGAGATTCTTCGCTATGCACTACGTAACACGATGGTGTACATTGACTTTAAATGCTGAAAAGTAATAAAGTAGCTAACCCTCTTTCCATCTATAGCCACACCTCATGTTACAGCACTTGTAAAATATTGTCATGGGCTCATCAGCCGATCGGGTTTGGATTTGCATGAAAAACGCTTGTGAATGGCCACACTTGGGACATGATGCTGCAAGGAAAACCACCGTGGGGGGGGGGGGGGGGGGGGGGGGGATATTGCATCAACCAACAATACAACATAACACAAAAAGCTCGCAAGTTCTCTCCCATGCATTCATTTCAAAGTTTTATATTTTGCTGAATGCGCACCTTCGGTTTTGTCGACATTTTTCCATGCGTTCTCCCCTCCCAACACGTCATCCACCTCCTTTTGCACCACCAGTTGCCGCCTTGAAATCTGCATTGTGCACGGGGGGTGTCGGGTAGTCACGAGGGGTGTGGGGTGTGGGGAGTGGGGGAGGGGAGCTATTGGGGAGCGGACGTACAGGTCTTGCGATGAACACAGAACCATTTGAGACGTCTCAAAAGTCATCATTGGCCGGCGTTGACTAGCATTGACTGGCAACACTCTCACCCTTCTCGTGATGCACTGACTAGCATTGACCTACGTTGACTGCAATGGCTCACCTTCCTGGTGATGCCATACACGTAGGGGCATATCTGACAGAAGAAGCAAGCCATTGACTAGCCTTGACTTTCATTGACTTTGACTGCAATGGCTCACCTTCTTGGTGATGCCATACACATAGGGGCACGTCTGACAGAAGAAGCAACTGACTAGCCTTGACTTTCATTGACTTTGACTGGGATTACTAACCTTCCTGGTGATGCCATACACATAGGGGCACGTCTGACAGAAGAAGCAACTGACTAGCCTTGACTTTCATTGACTTTGACTGGGATTACTAACCTTCCTGGTGATGCCATACACATAGGGGCACGTCTGACAGAAGAACCTCGCCTCTCGCCCCATGTGCGCCTGCTCCACCAGCAGCATGTTGGCGCATGTGGGGCAGAACTCCATCTCGTGCTGCTGCTGATAAGAAGAGACGGGAGGAGGGAGATATGAGAGTTGGTCGCCTCTTGCTCGCCCCATGTGGGCCTGCCTGCTCCACCAGCAGCATGCTGGCGCATGTGGGGCAGAACTCCATCTAGGCACGAGGAGAGCGACAAGGGAAGGACAGAAAGATAGCTGAGGCAGAAGCGCGCTTCTCTCCCCACGTGGGCTTCTCTCTCCCCACGTGGGCCTCTCTCTCCCCACGTGGGCCTCTCTCTCCCCACGTGGGCCTCTCTCTTCCCACGTGGGCCTCTCTCTTCCCACGTGGGCCTCTCTCTTTCCTTGTGGGTCCCACAAGGAAAGGGGAGAGGGGTTTGGGAAGTGGAGGAGAGGAGAATTTTACAGAAGGGGAGAGGGTATTGGGTAGGGTGGATAGGGGATTGGGTAGTGGGGAAGAGGGGGGGTGAGGGGATTATTGGGTAGGGGGAAAAGTGGGGGTGAGGGATTGGGTAGGGGGGAGAGGGCACTGGGTAGGAGAGAGGGGACTGGGTAGGAGGGGAAGGGATAGGGTAGGAGGGGAGGGGACTGGGTTGATGGGAGGGGGGTTTGGGTGGGAGAGGAGGGGATTGGGTAGGGGTGAGAGGGGATTAGGTAGAGGGGAGAGGGGACTGGGTATTAGGGAGCGGGATTGGGTAGGGGTGAGAGGGGATTGGGTAGGGGTGAGAGGGGATTAGGTAGAGGGGAGAGGGGACTGGGTATTAGGGAGCGGGACTGGGTAGGGGTGAGAGGGGATTAGGTAGAGGGGACAGGGGACTGGGTATTAGGGAGCCGGATTGGGTAGGGGTGAGAGGGGATTAGGTAGAGGGGAGAGGGGACTGGGTATTAGGGAGCGGGACTGGGTAGGGGTGAGAGGGGATTAGGTAGAGGGGAGAGGGGACTGGGTATTAGGGAGCGGGATTGGGTAGGGGTGAGAGGGGATTAGGTAGAGGGGACAGGGGACTGGGTATTAGGGAGCGGGATTGGGTAGTAGGAGAGGAGGGGGAAGAAGCTGCGGAGAAGAAGCGCCTTCCCCGAAAGTACACTCCCCGCATTTCGTGGGGGCTCAACCGTACCTGGAAAAGGGTATGTAAGGAAACGCAGCAGATGGCGCCGCAGTTGGCGCCGCTGTTGGCGCTGCTGTTGATGGGGCACCGAGAACGCCCAGCTGTGGCTCACATGGGTGGTTTTAGGCGACACTGCGAGACCCACTGCGCGCGACTCTGCGGACGACACTGCGGACGGCACTGCGGGCGACACTGCGGACGGCACTGCGGACGACACTGCGGACGGCACTGCGGGCGACACTGCGGACGGCACTGCGGACGACACTGCGGGCGACACTGCAGGCGACGCCGCCAGCGATGGTGCGGGAAATCCTGCTGCTTTTCGTGTCATGATAAGAATCATAGTTTAAATAAAATTATATTTTTGAAGTATTTCACCGTCCATGGGTGTTTGGTCTAGTGGTATGATTCTCGCTTTGGGTGCGAGAGGCCGCGAGTTCGATTCTCGCAACACCCCGTTTTACTTTAGTAGTTTTGTTTTTTTTCCTTTTCTTCCTTCTGTTTCCTCTGCTAGTCCCTGATCTCTCTACAGACGCACTTGTTGCATGTTCTGTAACATCACTTGTCCAATATTCATTACCTTTCAACCTCGTAAGTTCGAAGGCACATGCTACAGCAGACCAACCCTTGACACTCCTTTCATCCCTGCCAAACAGCCCCTCTAGCTATTTAACTACTATTAACCGTCTGCATAGCACATTCTACGTGTGTGTCCATCCGGTCGTGAGATTTTTTTGCCATGGTACCTATGTAGCTGCTCCCATCTTCCCACAAGGCAGGGCAACACCAGGCAGCCTATCCCTATCATGGAGAGCACTATGAACAGTACCCTGGCTCACGGAAACGATCCAAAAAGGGGTTGATGGAAGGGAGGCGTCAGAAATACCAATGGGATTTGATATGCGGCAACTATGTAACGGCTCTGGTCCTTTTTCTATATTCCTTAAAATACATTGTAACATTGATCAATTGCACCACTCACTCCTTTCCACAAGGCAGAGCAACACCAGGCAGCCTGTGCCTATCGTGCGGCGCAGTGTAATCAATACCCTGACCCATAGGAATGATGCCAAATGGGGTTGATTGAAGGGTGGTTTCAGATATGGTGAGACTTGATGTGCAAAGATAATGTAATGAATATGGCCCTTTCTCTATTACCGAAAGGCCAGTACATTTGAACACGATCAATTGCACCACTCACTCCTTTCCACAAGGCAGAGCAACACCGGGCAGCCTGTCCCTATCATGCGGCGCAGTGTAATCAATACCCTGTCCCATAGGGATTATTCCGAAGGGGTTGATGGAAGGGTGGCTTCGGAAATAGTGCGACTTGATATGCGCCATGTTCACTGTAGAGGCTATTCCGGGCAGCTGATAGATTTCCTTGGTGTAGTTGAAGAGGTTGGGGAATTCGCGGATGGAATTGCGGTTACACTTGTAATGAACCACGTACACCTGTAGCAACGAGGGTGTGTGAGGCAAGGTAGGGAGGGAGGGCCAGAGGGAGGGGGAGGAGGGGGGGTGGTTGGGGGGAAAGAGAGGAGCAAAGTTTAGATCTTGCAAATCTTCATGAACCACGCACACTTGAGCATGGAGGGTGAGTGTGTGTGTGTGGGGGGGGGGGAAGGGTTGGGTGTAAGTGAGTGGGGGGTGGGATGTGTGTTTGGGGAAATGTGCGTGTTTGTGTGCGCGTAAATGTGCTGGAAAAGTCAGAAATATTACATAGACGGCGGGATCGTGGGTAATTCAGTTATGATCGCAGTTATTAAAACCGGAGTCTCAAGTATCCCGAAGTTGCCTCATCCTTCCTACCTTTGGTTGGGTCACAAAGTCCAACCAAGCTTCCTACCTTTGGTTTTGTCACTAAGTCCAACCAACCTTCCTACCTTTGAAACCTGTGGACCCTGGATTTTAAAAGACCCACTTCTACAGAATTACAACATCCAGGCGAGTCAAAAGAGCTCTCGAAAGTGATTAGAAGCGTTACCTCATCGAATCGAATGAGTGTGACAAAGAGCCGAATATCAGCCTCTGTAAAAACATCTCCTGCGATAAAGCGCTGGCGAGAAAGGATGTCCTCACAGCGATCCAGAGCAGCAAATAGCTCCTTGAATGCCTATGAGTGGGTTGGGAATCGAATGGGGAGCAAGCAGAGAGGCGTGTGAAGGTGCCTCCCGCTATGAATCGCTGCTAGGAAAGGATGTCCTCGGAGCGATCCAGAGCAGCAAAGAGGTCGTTGAATGCCTGGGAGTGGGCAATGAGGGGGAAAGGAATCGGCTGGGTGGAAAGAGGGCGGATATCCGCCTCTGTGAAGGAGTTTCCACCGCCCTCTTTTCATGAAGTGCTATGAAGTGCTATGAAGTGCTATGAAGTGCTATGAAGTGCTATGAAGTGCTATGAAGTGCTATGAAGTGCTATGAAGTGCTATGAAGTGCTATGAAGTGCTATGAAGTGCTCTGAAGTGCTCTGAAGTGCTCTGAAGTGCTCTGAAGTGCTCTGAAGTGCTCTGAAGTGCTCTGAAGTGCTCTGAAGTGCTCTGAAGTGCTCTGAAGTGCTCTGAAGTGCTCTGAAGTGCTCTGAAGTGCTCTGAAGTGCTCTGAAGTGCTCTGAAGTGCTCTGAAGTGCTCTGAAGTGCTCTGAAGTGCTCTGAAGTGCTCTGAAGTGCTCTGAAGTGCTCTGAAGTGCTATGAAGTGCTATGAAGTGCTATGAAGTGCTATGAAGTGCTATGAAGTGCTATGAAGTGCTATGAAGTGCTATGAAGTGCTATGAAGTGCTATGAAGTGCTATGAAGTGCTATGAAGTGCTATGAAGTGCTATGAAGTGCTATGAAGTGCTATGAAGTGCTATGAAGTGCTATGAAGTGCTATGAAGTGCTATGAAGTGCTATGAAGTGCTATGAAGTGCTATGAAGTGCTATGAAGTGCTATGAAGTGCTATGAAGTGCTATGAAGTGCTATGAAGTGCTCTGAAGTGCTCTGAAGTGCTCTGAAGTGCTCTGAAGTGCTCTGAAGTGCTCTGAAGTGCTCTGAAGTGCTCTGAAGTGCTCTGAAGTGCTCTGAAGTGCTCTGAAGTGCTCTGAAGTGCTCTGAAGTGCTCTGAAGTGCTCTGAAGTGCTCTGAAGTGCTCTGAAGTGCTCTGAAGTGCTCTGAAGTGCTCTGAAGTGCTCTGAAGTGCTCTGAAGTGCTCTGAAGTGCTCTGAAGTGCTCTGAAGTGCTCTGAAGTGCTCTGAAGTGCTCTGAAGTGCTCTGAAGTGCTCTGAAGTGCTCTGAAGTGCTCTGAAGTGCTCTGAAGTGCTCTGAAGTGCTCTGAAGTGCTCTGAAGTGCTCTGAAGTGCTCTGAAGTGCTCTGAAGTGCTCTGAAGTGCTCTGAAGTGCTCTGAAGTGCTCTGAAGTGCTATGAAGTGCTATGAAGTGCTATGAAGTGCTATGAAGTGCTATGAAGTGCTATGAAGTGCTATGAAGTGCTATGAAGTGCTATGAAGTGCTATGAAGTGCTATGAAGTGCTATGAAGTGCTATGAAGTGCTATGAAGTGCTATGAAGTGCTATGAAGTGCTATGAAGTGCTATGAAGTGCTATGAAGTGCTATGAAGTGCTATGAAGTGCTATGAAGTGCTATGAAGTGCTATGAAGTGCTATGAAGTGCTATGAAGTGCTATGAAGTGCTATGAAGTGCTATGAAGTGCTATGAAGTGCTATGAAGTGCTATGAAGTGCTATGAAGTGCTATGAAGTGCTATGAAGTGCTATGAAGTGCTATGAAGTGCTATGAAGTGCTATGAAGTGCTATGAAGTGCTATGAAGTGCTATGAAGTGCTATGAAGTGCTATGAAGTGCTCTGAAGTGCTATGAAGTGCTATGAAGTGCTATGAAGTGCTATGAAGTGCTATGAAGTGCTATGAAGTGCTATGAAGTGCTCTGAAGTGCTCTGAAGTGCTCTGAAGTGCTATGAAGTGCTATGAAGTGCTATGAAGTGCTCTGAAGTGCTCTGAAGTGCTCTGAAGTGCTCTGAAGTGCTATGAAGTGCTATGAAGTGCTATGAAGTGCTATGAAGTGCTATGAAGTGCTATGAAGTGCTATGAAGTGCTATGAAGTGCTATGAAGTGCTATGAAGTGCTATGAAGTGCTATGAAGTGCTATGAAGTGCTACGAAGTGCTATGAAGTGCTATGAAGTGCTATGAAGTGCTATGAACACCTGACACTGTTATGCCTTATATTCACCTGAGGCTGTAAAATTCACCTGGGGATGTTTGGCAATGGCGTTGAATTCAGAGTTGAGCATTCGCATGATGTCGCTGCTCTCGTTGTTCACTATGGTGCCACTCTCCTTGTCCCACAGCACCTGCACGTGACGAACAGGAAAGAGGGAAAAAGGAAACTCTAAGGAAACTCCTGCCACCTCCGCCTCTTGTGTTGGAAGCAACCCACCAGTACCACCCAGTCACACCATTCACACCCACTCACACCCACTCCCACCACTCACAGGCACGCTGAACTTGACAGCACCGGGGTCTGCCTTCTCGTAAACGTCCCTCAGGGAGAGAGCTCCGTTGAGAGGGTCGCTCTCCGCCCCTGCCACCTCCGGCGTGGCCCCTGGCGCCACGAAGGGCCATCCAATGTGGTCGTCGCCCTCCCTCGTGCGACGCCACACCGGCTCTACTATCTGAAATAGAACAGGGGTGCGAGAGGTGGCGAAAAAACGGGGAGAAATGAGGGGAGAGGAAGAAATGAGAGGAGCGGAAGGGGGATTGAAGGCCGCTCTCCGCGCCTGCCGCCTCTGCCTCCCCTCCCGGCGCCACGAAGGGCCAGCCAATGTGCTCGTCGCCCTCCCTCGTGCGCTTCCATACCGGCTCTACTACCTGTAGAGTGGGAGGAGGGGAGAATGGGGAGCAGGGGAAGGTGGAATGAGGGTCACTCTGTCTCTCCCCCTGCCACCTCCGCCTCTCCCCCTGGCGCCACGAAGGGCCAGCCAGCCAGCCAGAATGGGAAGCAGGGGAAGGTGGAATGAGGGCCCTCCCTCATGCGCCGCCACACCGGCTCTACTACCTGAAATAGAACAGAGGCGCGACGAGAGGTGGCGGAAAAAGGGGGAGAAATGAGAGGAGCGAAAGGGGGCTTGAGGGTCGCTCTCCGCCCCTGCCACCTTCAGAGTGCCCCCTGGCGCCACGAAGGGCCATCCAATGTGGTCCCCGGCGAGGAGTCCTCGCCCTCCCTCGTGCGCTTCCATACCAGCTCCACCACCTGCGGTGAGAGAGAAGGCGGGAGTGGGGTTGTGAACCAATGTGCTCCATTTGAGTCGACACGCCTCCATTTCATAAACAATCCTTCCCTTGTGCGCCTCCACATCGGATTCACCACCTGAAAGAGAGGAGAGAGCGGTCCCAATTACAGTCACTCCCACTTCCAGTCACCACCACTTACAGTCACGGAGATGGCGTCGTCGTTGAGCGTCATGCGATTAGCAACACAACAACACAATAAAGAATGTGACTATAACGGGAACTGCTTACAGTCACGAAAATGGCGTTCTCGAGCCCTTGAGCTTGGGCACAATAACGCCCTTCTGTTCTGAGTCAGTGTTGTATAATCACAAGAGAATAGTCACACTATAATCATCCCCACGTACAGTCACGGAGATCGCGTCCTCGAGCCCCCTGAGCTTGGGCACAATGGCGCACACTTATGTCCGCTCAAGTCACCGCAATGCATACAGTGCCGGTAACGGAAGTGCCTATAGTGGGAGTGACTAAAACGGGAGCTGCTTACAGTAACGGAGATGGCGTCCTCGAGCCCTTTGAGCTTGAGCGCCATGAGGCAGCGGCACGCCCAGGGGCAGGCGTAGCTCACGTACAGGTGGTACCTGGGGAGGCGTGGAAAGTCGGGGGTGGTAACGATTAGTCGTTTTATAAGAAACAAAAATTACTAGGGAGGGGGGAGTCGAGGCCACGGAAATCGAGAGGGCGTGCTATTGAACGCCTCAGATCAGACCATTTTTCCATTTACACACCTGTCAGCGACGGCAGGGAATCCGCTCGACCCATCCGCGGTAATTAGGCTGCGGAGGGCGGAGGGCGTCCGCGTTATAGGACACCTAACTATCCCATACCAGCGTACCTGGCAGCGACGGCGGGGAATCCGCTGGACCCATCCGCGGTAATAAGGCTGCGGAAGGCGGAGGGCGTCCGCTTGAAAGCGCCGTCCGCGCTCGACACCTGAAGCGTCGTCTGCACCATAACGGGCGCTGCTGCTGACGTGGTGGAATCCGCTGACGTGGCGGGATCTGCTGACGTGGCGGCTTGTGTAACGAACGAGCGACGACTGGCGGCAGGCCGGTGCTGCTGTGGCAGCGAAGATTGTTGGAAGAGGAACTTGTTTGCGTCGACGGTCACCCGGTCGCCACTCGCGAAGTTCGCAAATCTCGCAGTTCTCGCGAATCTCGGAGCTGGTGAGACCGTCGAGTTACACACGCTCTTAGTGGGCGATCGAAACTGCTGGAGACTGCAGGGTTCAGAGGCGGTAGCAAAAGTAATAAGAAAATCAGGCGAACGCGAAGAGCGGTGCTCAGCAAGAATTTTGACCGGGACGGAGGCGGCGCGAAGCGCAGACAGCGGCAGGCGAAGGGCTGACGACGCAACAGCCGCCATGGCTGGTTTCGGCTGGTTTACGCAATTGCAGAGGAGAGAAGGAAGACGAAGAAGGAAACGAAACGCGTTCTTGCCACTAGCCTTACTTCCCACTAGCCTTACCCGCGCTTTCTGTCTGTTATCTCAGGGAATTACTGGGAGACTGTCACGACAAAAACGATAAGAAGAACCAGACACCGAGGAGACGGTGAAGAGGAAGCGGTGCGAGAAGCAAGAAGAGGAGGCCAGGCGCAAATATGAAGCCGAAATATGAATTTGTGACAGTTATTTGCCACAAAGCGAATTTATAAGTGCGGGATTTGAAGGTGACGAGAATTCGACGAAAGCATGATTTGTGCGAAACGCGCGAAGGTGCGAGGGTCTTGTACTGAAGGCGAAACGCTGCAATATTTATTCGCAGAGCGGCGGGGTTGCAGGGAGTGGTTGCATGTGCGTAAATTTGTGTAACCACCGTTCGCTTAAAGCGACGGGCAACTTCTGGCAGTGTTGGGTTCAGAAGTTTTTTTTTTTGAACCAGGCTTGCCAGCGCGAAAGTGCTGGCTGGCGAAAACCAGGATTTCGTGCGGACACTTTCCATCCGCAGTAACAGTTCGCCAGGGTTCTGGGTTTTGGGTGGCAAATGTGCACCGTCGCTTTAACTACGTGGTTCTCGAACCACCCGACGAAGGAATCGACAATTCCGAGAAGCTGCTCGGAGATTTGTAGCTTCTCAGAACTGCTGTACAGATTCTCTTGCTTCGATAAGCGTATATGGCCATATCGAAACAGGAAAGCCATTCACAAGTAACGGAGTTGTTTTTCTAGATGGACTGCAGTCAGCTTGTTTTTCGACGGAGCTACCTTTAACGAGTCGAAGGTCGGATCTGACGCAGTTTCGCCAGCTCCTTCGCTGGACTGGCGAAGTTACGGAGGAAACTGAACTATCCTGACCAGCGCGACCTGACCTAATCGCGTTGCCAGCGTGGCATAGATTCCCCAATCGCAACGAGTACCGGAGCCTTCACACCACCGAGCGTTCGACGTCTGTCAAGCTTCAGATCCGCTTCCTAGCTCCATGATTGGTCGGGTGGCTGTTTCTGTGTTGACGATGAGACCTTCCTTACTTTCGGCGGGCAGGAACGCATTCCGTGTGGCATGGAAGGCTGGCAACCACCACTACTATGCAATGCCTCCCTACTCCCAAGGGTGCGTAGTTTTCCACGTACTGTTTCAGTTAGAGCTGGTGTGTTGCTCAGCCGGGCAGGTTGAAACAAAATCAAACGATGGGAGATCCAGGTTTCGCGGAGGGATCGAGGGAAAGGGGGATGGAAGGGAGGGACCTGCAGCGCGACACGGCCCAAGACGAGTCTCCTATCGCTAGTGTGATTGTCAGCAGCTTTACGAACAACCGCAGCACTGCTTCATAAGCTCCCCCGCTCGGCCTTCTATGTTGCATCACTAGCAGTCTTGAGCTTCCCGAGCGTCCCTTTTTAGCATCGTCTTGCTCGTTTGCTCTACCACTAGCAGTAGTACTACCGCTAGTAAGCGAAACATAGAGCCGCTTAGCGCGCAGAGCAGATCATCGCAGTTCGGAGCAGCAAAATACAGTGGATCACACCGGAGCAACGCAGAACAGAGCAGGGGGCAGAAGCAGCGTTAATGCCGTCGGTGCTCCTTCAGTCGTGCGCACGCCGTCTCCTCGTCCACCCAAACTCACCCACGCTCCTCCTCTCCTCTCCGTTCTCTCGCCAACCTTCCACTTTTCTTGGCAGCAACCACTCTATTACTCGATACACTACATCCTCGATAGTAGCACGCGGGTTTCCCAAACAAGGCTCCGGTCCGACCGTCCGCGCTTCAGCAGCAGTCAGAATGCCGCCCGTCGTGACTGCCGCCGCGGCGTCGGCATCACCAGGCGCTCCGCCTTCCGCGGTGGCGGTTCCGTTCCGCCAGCATGTAACGGCGGACGGTTCGAGCGGATTCCCGGCGGAAAGCGGAAGGTGAGATGACACCGCGAGTATCAGTTGAGACTTCTTCGATCAAAATCTGCCCACCTCCCCCCAATCTCTCCCCCCGCCCCCCCTTTCCTCCCCTCCGCCCCCTCTTCCCCCCCCTCCGTCCCCCCACCCACTTCCCCCACCTCCTCCCTCCCCTCTCCCTCTCCCTCTGCTCGCGAGCTACATCTACTCCTCATCACCGTCCTCACTACCCCTCCCTTCCCCACCTTCCCCCCTCGACCTTCTCTCCCCAACCCCCCAGGTACCACCTGTACGTGAGCTACGCAACGCCTGCCCCTGGGCATGCCTGGTTGGCTCCTTATACCTAATCCCTCCCCTCTCCCCCCACCTCCCCCGCTCCTAACCGCCCCCAGGTACCACCTGTACGTGAGCTACGCAACGCCTGCCCCTGGGTATGCCTGGTTGGCTCCTTATACCTAATCCCTCCCCTCTCCCCCCACCTCCCCCGCTCCTAACCCCCCCCAGGTACCACCTGTGCGTGAGCTACGCCTGCCCCTGGGCGACTCTCTCATTCACTCATACGCTGTTGCCCCCCTCCCTATCCCCGCCCCTTCCTCCTCTCCCCCCGTCATCTCAACCATACCCGCCGCCCCCAGGTACCACCTGTACGTGAGCTACGCCTGCCCCTGGGCGTGCCTGGTTGGCTACTTATACTTCATCCCTCCCCTCTCCCCCCACCTCCCCCCCCTCCCAACCGCCCCCAGGTACCACCTGTACGTGAGCTACGCCTGCCCCTGGGCGACTCTCTCATTCACTCATACGCTGTTGCCCCCCTCCCTATCCCCGCCCCTTCCTCCTCTCCCCCCGTCATCTCAACCATACCCGCCGCCCCCAGGTACCACCTGTACGTGAGCTACGCCTGCCCCTGGGCGTCGCGCTGCCTCATGGCGCTCAAGCTTAAAGGACTCGACGACGCCATTTCCGTCACTGTAAGCTAAGCACTTCCCGCTATAGTCACTTCCGCTATAAGCATTTCAGCGAAGTACAGTGACCCGTGGCTCATGGCGCTCAAGCTTAAAGGACTTGACGACACCATTTCCGTCACTGTAAGTGGGGTTGAATATTCCAATGTGACTAGAGTGTGACTGTGCGCTCTTCTGCTTGTAAATAGGGCAGGCTGTAGTGTTATATGGAGGTACAGCCTTTCCAGATTTCCGCCCTTTACCCCCACTGCAATCCTGCTGACGTGGCAGGTGCTGAACCCCACGTGGGTGCGAACGCGCGAGGGGGAGGAGCATTTCGGATGGGCGTTTCCTTCCGCGGAGGGCGACGCGGAGGAGCCGGGGGCGCAACCCGATCCGATTTTTGGTGCTCGGTTCGTCCGCGACATTTATGAGAAGTTGGATCCTTCATATAAGACCTACTCTGTTCCGGTATGTACACCACAACAATACACATGTCATATGATATAGTCTGGCCGCACTTGAGAATCTACGAGAAAATGGATCTTTCGTATAAGACCTTATAAGTGCCGGTATGTATTATTGGCCATCAGGCAGGATGCTTTTGAGCATTCAAAAACACCCTGAATATCGGAGTCACTTTTGATCATTTATAAAAAACACCCGGAAAGTGTATCCCTCATTGTGCCGGTATGTACAGTACAGCGTCATATGTAAATCAAAATAGTAACACCACAAGCATACATCGTTTAATAAGTCTGAACTCATTCCCATCCCGCTTTCTCAGTCTTGAACCATTCTTCGGAGTGCTTCCCTTATCAGAGCTTTTTTTTCTTAGATCCACTAAAACTCTATAAATAAGCCCTTGTAACATGAGAGTGAAGTGCAGACATCATGCGAGTTCCCAGCTTTCACAGTCCAATACAATGCCATAGCCAGGAATCCGCAACCTTCCCCATCCTCTCTTCTCCCCTCGTCCCCTCTTCCGTTCTTTGCTGACACCATGCCAGATTCTCTTGGACAAGCAGACGCGCACCATAGTGAACAACGAGAGTGCAGAGATAATGAGAATGCTCAACTCGGAGTTCAACGCCGTCGCTGCCAATCCCCACGTGGACCTCTATCCTTCTGCCATGCGGGGGGCCATCGATGGGGTGAACGAGTGGGTGGGACCGGCAATTAACAGCGGCGTGTTCAAATGCGGCTTCGCCAAGGAGCAAGCGGCCTATGATGCGGTGAGAATGGGTATTGGGGAGTGAAGGGGTGAGGGGGCCCACAAGCCAGCACCCCCACGTGGACCTCTATCCTGCGGCCATGCGGGGGGCAATCGACGGGGTGAACGAGTGGGTGGGGCCGGTAATCAACAGCGGCGTGTTTAAGTGCGGATTCGCCAAGGAGCAAGCGGCCTATGATGCGGTGAGAATGGGTTAGGAACGGTCCTGTGATTGATGAAAAGGGAAGGGGGGGGCTATCGATGGGGTGAACGAGTGGGTCGGGCCGGCGGTCAACAGCGGCGTGTTCAAATGCGGGTTTGCCAAGGAGCAAGCGGCATATAATGCGGTGAGAATGGGTGAGGGGATGGGGGGACACAAGCCAGCACCCCTCTACCCTGCGGCCATGTGGGGGGGCATTGATGGGTTGACCTAGTGGGTTGGGCCGGCGATTAACAGCGGCGTGTTCATTCGCCAAGGAGCAAGCAGCTTATGACACGGTGAGTGAAATGGGGTGGGGTGGGGAGGGAGAGAATAGAGAGAAGGTGTGAGAACCCACAAGCCAGCAACTCTGAAGTGCCGATTTGGCAGGGAGAGAGCAGCTTATGATGTTGTGGGATGAAGGGGTGGGGATGAGGTGAGATAGTTGTTGGAGGAACAGTCATTGTAGGCACAGCTGCTGACGCACATTCTCCCCTCTCCCCACCTCGCTTTCTCTCCTTTTCCCCTCTACCCACCCACTCCAGGCCGTAGCAACCCTCTTCTCAGCCTTGGATCGCTGTGAGGACATTCTTTCAAAGCAGCGCTACATGGCAGGGGACGCGGTCACAGAGGCAGACATCCGCCTGTTTGTGGATCTGATTCGATTTGATGAGGTATGCCTTGTAACC